CTCATTGGGGTATATAAACCCCTCGATTGTAGTTATGTTCAGTTTACTGTCTAGTAAATCTTCCATCTGCTGCCTGCTACCTCGGATGCAACACAATAGAAACTCTGAGGCTCTATAAGGCGTATGTGCTCCCACAGCTTGAATACTGTTGTCATGTATGGAGTTCTCAAACAAAAAAAATGCCGAGCTAAAATTGAAAGAGGCAACAAGTTTTCACTAGGCTTCTTATATATAGATGCAAGCCGAGCCATACGCATTCTCATCACTCCCCTCCCAGCAATGGCGCTAGGCTGAGTCTTTTTGGTTTGAAGACCTTCTTCTACCGGTGAATATGTCACGATTTGGTGTTGAGTGTTGCGCATGGAGTCCAAATTGAGGGTAAGCAAGTACTTGGTCTTTCGACCAGCACATGGACGTACGAGCAGTTTCGTTTTAGACCACATGCCTGTAAAAAAGCCACATTCAACGAAGTTACATAATCCATTTTTCTACCGGACGGCCGGATGGCTGCAGATGTTACCTAAAGTGATTGTAAGTTCACCTCATTCTTCAGTCTTCCGTCGTAAACTGATAAGTGAACAATTAGTCTCTACTAATTCTACAAGATTTTTACATAACCTTCGCTGCCTTCGGCTTCAGTTTGCTTTTGTTGTGATTACTTCGACATGTTGCAGGACCCAGTTTTTTCTTTACTTTACTGCAGGATGAAAATGATGAAATGAATGATGAAACATGAATTGAATGATGGACTGAGAAGATGAATGATGATAAAAACGCCAATGATTAATGATAACACTGTTTCACACAATAGATATCAAAGCGCATTTCATAATCTCATATACTTCTACTTTTGTCTGATGTTATGTGGCTAGAAACTTCTCCCTGGGCAGCCTGCTCTGCAATCACCGCGTGTGCAATCTGCAATCTCTCGATCGCTTCGGCGACGGCCGTCTCTCTTTCTACAACTAATTGCAGTGGTCGGAGCTGCGAGTGGGTAGCTGAGTACGATTCCCGCCCTTTAATGATGTTAGAGCCACCGATGGCATCAACAAGAGCATACTGTCTTATATTTCCCTTCGCATCAATATTATCTACATGCAAATATGACAGTTAGCATGTGTAATGGTGAAGGTGAAATTATCTGAATTTTCTGTGTTGTTTAATGAGCGGTCACAGATTACAGAACCTTTGAAGATGTGATATCATAATAGGAAAGGAGACGTCATCGCAGTGGCCATTCAAGATNTGACAGTTAGCATGTGTAATGGTGAAGATGAAATTATCTGAATTTTCTGTGTTGTCTAGCTCTGTATTGTTTCTTTATCATTTTTGGCGCACCTTGTGTGCAAAATAAATAATTGAATAAATATGTGCTTCTGGTTGGCTTGGTGTAATTTGATGTGCTCTGTATTGTGACTGACTGATAATTAATAACTGAATGTACATTGTAAAGTTAAGGTCTGACGAAGGAAACATATGCTGAAAGCAAAGCAATGCCTTCCCAATAGAGTGGAAAGACAAGAGCTTCGAAAAGTACATACTAAAGTGGCCGAGAAAGAATGTTTAATAAGCGGTCACAGATTACAGAACCTTTGAAGATGTGATATCATAATAGGAAAGGAGACGTCATCGCAGTGGCCATTCAAGATGAGATGTATATCGTCGTAAGTGATTTCGAACAATGATCTCAAATCTGTGCTCCAAATATGCTTAGCGATTCTGGGAACAAATTTACAAGACCAATGCCTTCCTGGATTTACAACGGTATCGAACAGGTCACCGCTCCAGAGCCGTAGCTATGCAACGGTCGCGCAGCTGTTAGAATGATGGAGTAGTAGGCATGACATGAAGGTCCGTTTCTTTGATGTATGCGCTCGTTTTGCTTTTCCATGTTGTGCGCCCTAAACGCTTGCAAAACGTTTTTTGAAACCAATATTGGCCATCTGCGGAGCTAACCCTCATTTAGGAATATTAAAATGGTAACAGACGGAGAGTTTTTTCTGCCCTCCACTGGAGAAATAAGGGTGGAGCTAAATTCAAGCGAAAGAGAAATCTTGCACATTTGCCTCAGAGACTTCAAGGAGTAAGGGCCCAAACAATACATCTTAACAAACGCCCTTCAACATGTTACAAGCGTAATATTCTGGCCAAAGTTGGTGTCACCGGAAAGAACATGAAAATCTGTAGATTTTGCGAAAAACAATGCTCCCCGAATTTATCCGGGTTTATTTGTTATAGTAGGTTATGAGTCAATTTTAGTTGGTGCAATGGCGTAGAAAGTTGACTAATGGTGTCTCTGCTGCCAGAAATTGCTATCTGCAATCGCCATGGATGGAGATCCCGGGCAAAGATTGGATTTCCCAGTATAAATGCTAAATTAGGGATGACGGAACTTTTCCTTGAATTGCCACACTTGTTGGGCCGCATGCGGCATTTTTTAGTTGCGCTTTGAACTCAATCACCGTACTCGGCCCGTCTCTCCTTGCCGATAAAGCCCAATTTCAGTTGCCCTCATTGCTTTTTTGCTTCACTGCTATGGCTTTTCTGGTTGTTTTCTTGTTTTGGTAATGAATGATCAATAAAGATTTTAAGGGGACAATAAGGTTCAACAAAGAAAAGTCATCACCCTGTAGCGCGCTCCAATCAACAGTCGCATTTTTGCGATACGCGGCGGTGAGGCGAGAGCGACACGCTCTCCCACACCCTCACATTAGAAATGGTGCAGGAGTTTGTGCCAGTCAAAAATTTGAGGCACCTCAATCCTACTCTTTGAGTGTACAATAAGTGACGCTGCTACACATATCGGTTTCAGCTTAAATTGCACAAAGAGGTTAATTTTATCTGATTTTATTGTAGGGTATTTTATCTATTCACATACTTTTCAATAAGTTTGGCCTAATTCCATACTGATAACAAAGTAAATACTGAAAAATCACCATCGGAATCCTTTGGCAGGCGGTAACCCTCCATACGTGGTGTGATGCTTTCTTCTGTTAAGCTATGTTTTCCGGCAAAAAGTATCAACTGAAAAAGCGAACATATGCGCTTTGATTTATAAGCTGTCGTTGTTGGCTGTAACTTAACCAAACGCTGAAAAGCAAACGATGTAGCTCTACTCAAGAACAGCATTCGTAAAAGCGCCTCACTCTCGTAACCCGATTAGAGCTCCTCTTATACGTATACGTTACATTAGAAAGCACTCAATGGTTGCTTTCATAGTCCGCCAGCTGGCGGGCCGAGGCAGTTCTAGGGGGGAGGAGGGAGGGGCAGACCGTCGGTCGACGCGGCTCGGCTGATACGCCGGCCGGCACGCCACCGGACTATGAAGGCAGCCAATTTGATGTTTCGTCATTATGTATTTTCAAGTTCTTTCCTTCTCTTCCCATGTATGCCTTTTGGAAGCTTCCCTCCTTTCATCATCACCTTCTTTCAACGTTTCTGTTCACTCGCCTTGTCCTAAGACGATCTCGTCAATTACCTCTCATTCAATCCTTTTCCCGTGTGCTGACCTTCTTTCATTCCCAACATTTTTTTATCAGAGCTGCTTCCATCTACAAAAGGCAAAAAAGCTTGTGGTCGCGCAAACCCCCGGTAAAGTGGAAAGTTGTTGACTTGGTGGAGTATTAGAAAACAATAAAATTGAGCTTCCACTCTCGAATCTCAACCAATCATGAGTTGATGCAGGCGTGAAAACACATGGTTCACGAACATTTGATGAACTTAGATGAATACGATGAAACTGAGCTGTTCACTCTCGAACCTCAACCAATAATGGGTATTATAGCAAGAGTCTTTTTTCATCTACGGAAGTAAGTTCAGTTATTGATGCAAATCAGTGTGCTCCATCAACACACTTTTTTGTTGACAGTATTGCTCCATTATCCTTCATGTGGTGGCAAGAAAGACCTGCGACAAAACAGAGGACATTCCGAACTCATTACCAGAAATTTCGAAATCAATCAAATTTTGGAAATATATTTTCAGAAGAGATCAACAATCTTCGCTTATTCTTCCAGAGATCACAGATTAGTCTTGTCTAAAACTCAGAAAACCGTGACTCAAATAAACCATTGGCTACCTCCATGTTCGCCTTTCTCGAAAACTAGGCATTTTCACTATTATTAGTCAATGCTTCTGTGCCAAAAAAGTTTTTAATGGTGGAATATTTACTGCCTGACGTTTCGACTAACTCGTCGTTAACGAAGGCCTGAAAGCGTTTCGCAACTTTAGAGAGCTACCTATCACGCTTGACGTAGACCAGCTCTTAACTAGTTGCAACTCAGGCTGATGAACTTCTAATTAAGAAGGAGTTCCGATAAGTCACTCACGTCAATTCCACCAATACCGGACAGTTGCTCAAGTTCCGTGACGATAGAGCAATTGAGACAGCCCGGTCAACCACGACCTAATATAGTATCGTGGCGTAACACGTATCAATCTCACAATCAACGCTCACACAGAGGCATGTAATGCAAAAGGTCACCAGTTATGTTGATGCACTCATTCTTGCTATTCATGCTCGAATTTCGATGTCTTATCCAGAAAGCCTCGAGAGATTTTCTGGCACCAATACTGTTCTCGTAGGCCAAAATCGTGCATTTAACGTCAAAGTCACGCCAGCATAACCTTCCCTTCTGTGCTTCCCAAGCGGTGCAGTCGAGCAACCATGATGCAAATCTGGTCATAGAGACGATATCTAACCAACTGGTGTTTAATGCGTTCTCTTGGTGTGTTCACCAAGAAGACGTCATTGGCTAGATCCGCTCTTTTCAGGCATTGCTGAATAACTGCGCTGAATCAATCTCATATGAATGGTAATTGAAAATACATCTCATCTTCAGTTCCATATGGAAAAGGCCTCGATCTGCTTTGTGAGCCATGCGGCCGAGTTGTGTATCCATTCAGATTAGCCGTTTGGTAGGCTAACCTTCTAGACTCTTCCCACTCCTCGTTACCGGTGCACACCTCCACAGCCGTTCTGTACATTCCGCAATGTACGTTCCGCAATACTGCGCGTTTACCAGCTTTGGGGTGTGCCGACATTGCATGAATGAGGATATTCTTAGAGCTTTCTTTTCTACACCATTTCACACTGTATGTTCCACTGGTAACTCTTACCTGAGTATTCAGGCAGGGTGACCAGCCTTCGTGCTGGACTTCTCGAGTTAGCCTGATGTACTGCGACTGGCTGTTTAGAATGTTGAACAACTCATCCATTTCTGACTGAGTTGTCTTTGTGATGGAATAGTCGTCAATGTAGCGGCAGTTCATTATGGGTAAGCGTGCTAGCACTGGTTGTTCGAGCATTCTACTCATAAAGCAGACAGCAAGAACCTCCTTTAGCCGCTGTTTCATTGCAAGCCCTCTTATCTAAGAAAAATATCTCCCGGACTACTTGAATATATTGCAGTTCAAGCACTCCTTGATGAGAGCCATCATTTGTGCCTTGCTCGATCCAAACGTCACCACACTTCGTTCGTGCTGGTCAAGCATTTCTGAAACTGCTTGCAAAGCCTCGTCGTTGCTAACGTTGGTGTAGAGCGCAGACACGTCAGATGACTCAACAACACAGTCACATTGAAATCTGCAAGCACGTAAGATTCAAGAACTGTCCCGTATTAGACAGATGGCAGGTATATGGACCAAGCGTTGACCGATGATTTTATTTAGGAACCATGAAATGCGATCTGTCGGTCCATCAACACAACTGATTGTAGGCCTGATTTTTGTAAGCCTGCGGCAGCAGTGACTGCATGCTTTTAGTAGATAGCTATTTGTTTTATTGGGGCTATAAAATACTGGGCACGTAGGGTTCTCCAGCTTCAGCCTTCTAATGAGTCTTTCATCCAATTTTGCCATCTTTCCTACTTTGACCCACAAGGTGTTTAACTTGTGTGTTTGCATAAGAAAAACCTTTTCTGCCGTGTTGCGGTAGACTGTTGTGTCTGCTAGATGGGGTTCTGTGATTTCCCTGTCTAAAGACAGGTAATATCACAAATTCTCCAACTTCGTCGCTGACAGGAAGGCGTACTTCATTCCGTTTTATTCTTTCCCGGATCTCATTCAACCCTCCCATTGCTCGCGTGTCAGGTTGGAGCGCTTTTCGCACTCGAATTTATTAAGCGGTTCAGAACTTCTGCTGATAAGATTCGGAACTTAATTTCTGCTCTCGGGAAGGGATCAGATCCTTTATAAAATGACTGTGGGAATGGAATAGGTGTTGGAGTAGTATGCTCTAGCCTTTGAATTACCTGTCCCTGGAAGTAGCGTCGTGCTTTCGTTCTCAGTTGTTCCCTGAACTTTTGCAAACCGCAAACAATTTTACGAACGGTAAGCACGTTGATCGTTTGCGTTAATGAGAACGATGGCGCCTAACTCAGAAATTCCATAGCTTTCGACGAAATTTGTGCATACGACGACAAGCGATGCACAAATTTTGTCGTAAGCTACTCTTTCTGAATACTCAGGTAAGGGTTGGCAGTGGAACATACAGTGTGAAATGGTACAGAAAAGAAAGCCCAAGAATATCCTCATTCATGCAATGTCGGCACACCCCAAAGCTGTCAAACGCGCAGTATTGCGGAACATGTACAGAACGGTTGTGGAGGTGTGCACCGGTAACGAGGAGCGGGAAGAGTCCAGAAGGTTAGCACACCAAATGGCTAATCTGAATGGATACACAACTAGGCCGCATGGCTCACGAAGCAGATCGAGGCCTTTCCCATATGGAACTGAAGATGAGATGTGTCTTCAATTACCGTTCATATCAGATTGATTCAGCGCAGTCATTCAGCAATGCCTGAGAAGAGCGGATCTAGCCAATGACGTTTTCTTGGGGAACACACCGAGAGAGAACTTTAAACACCAGCTGGTTAGAAATCGTCCCTATGACCATGCTTGCATCATGAATAGTTGCCTGATCTGCCCGTATGGAAAAGTAGGAGACCGTGCACAAAGAGCTGTGGTTTACCAACTTCAGTGCTTAACATGTGATGCTTGCCATATTGGAGAAACTGGGAATCAGTTATGCGTTCGTGCAAAAGAGCATTTGGCTAGCAAATGAAGGGCTTGCTCTTACACCGCTTGGGAAGCACAGAAGGGAAGGTTATGCTGGTTGTGACTTTGACATTAAATGCACGATTTTGGCCTACGAGAACAGTATTGGTGCCAGAAAATCTCTCGAGGCTTTCTGGATAAGACATCGAAATCCGAGCATGAATAGCAAAAATGAGTGCATCAACATAACTGGTGACCTTTTGCATTACATGCCTCTGTGTGAGCGTTGATTGTGAGATTGATACGTGTTACGTCACGATACTATAATTAGGTCGTGGTTGACCGGGCTGTCTCAACTGCTCCACCGTTACGAAAGATGGGCAACTGTTCGGTATTGGTGGAATTTACGTGAGTACTTATCAGAACTCCTTCTTAATTGGAAGTTCATCAGCCTGAGTTGCAACTAGTTAAGAGCTGGTCTACGTCAAGCGTGNTAGGTAGCACTCTAGATTGGCGAGACGCTTTCAGGCCTTCGATAACGACGAATTAGTCAAACGTAAGGCGAATAAATATTCCATCGTAAAAACCTGTTTGACACAGAAGCATTGACTGACCATTAGCTAACATTCTCAGATCAAGCTGGTTTACGATTTTTTTCGCGAAGACACGCTTGAAAAGGCTGAGCACCGGTGATGAAAGGATCCCGGGTGTGAGACTAATGAAAAAACTGGGATGAAGCGAGTCTGATAAAATTGCGACAGGCGTCTTAGGCAAAATTTCGCCATGCGCTGTCCTTCTGTAGGTGCCGAAGATATAATTTTGAACGTCTTTCTCTTACCGCGTTGATCACATACTGAAGCTCATAGGGGAAAGGTACAGCCGTGACTACCTAGTCTGCGCTGAGCGACCCATAGTGGATGAACCCCTTCACACCACTGAAAACTATCACACTTGAGATGAGTGCCGGGAGCAGAAGGGTTCGAGCAGAAGACAATTACAAAGAGACAGTACACTCATACATGGCCTTGAAGTAGTAAGGAAAATATAAATCGAGAGGCTTAATTTGAGAAGTTGCGACAGGTGGAATGTTGAGTACCCTCACCTCCTTGATAGTTGGCAAAGCAATCTGAATCGCCTCATGGTCCCCGGAGACCAGTAGGGTTGAAGCCAAACGTCTTGATGCATCGCTTGATCTAACCCAATCGAGCATTTTTCATGTTTATTTCTTCATTCTTCTTCTTTTTTATTCTTTTTCTTCTTTCTTCTTTTTCCGTTTCTCATTCATGTGGGTTGTATTGGTTCTCTCCTTGAGCGCCGGGAGTAGAATGTTTTATGTGCACCCCTCCCGATTCTGTCCGTGGCTCCGACAGAAAAATCCACCTGTCTAAGCATTTCTGGTGCTCCGTAAATGTGAAGGAGGGCTGTAAATGGTTTATATGATGCATAAAAGGGTTTCGCAAGTGTTGAATACACTTCTTACAAAAAAGCAGAACAAGCACATTCATCAAGGACTCAACCTTCGTGCCACGCCGTCTTCCCAACTGCACCATAGCTGTGCGTTTCGTACTGGATGGTTTTCTCATAAAAGCAAAAAAGTGGAATGACGCTCGGGAGAAAGGGCCCGTAACCATGTTCCCAGAATCGTTTCGCAGATTTGGAACCCAGATCTGAGATCAGCGTTCAAAACTACCCATGCGGTATACATATGTATCATCTCAAATGCTCACTGCGACTTGGTATCCTTTCCTTGTCAGCCGCCATGCCCTCGTTTCTTCTTTGAAATGCCTAGAAGTCGGTGATGGTGCGATCCGGCTGTTGCCCCTTCACACCACGGCAAATCCAACCGTGTTCATATTGTTAACACGAATTCAAAACGCTTCGAATTTTCTGTTGCCGAGCTTTCTTGCCAATCCTTTGTACACCATTTATAACGCCTGGTGTGATCCTCCGCATGCAATTGCTCACTTAATTTATTTTCTTTTGTGGCGAGCATCCTGAATCTGTTTGCCTCTGAAAACACTGATCCTCTGAATATCTTCCTCCATATTTCACCAGGCGTATTGTTATTGTGTTAGTTCATAATTTGCTTTCAAGCTAAGCGATGAACAGTTGTTACTCTATGCCATTGTTAGCATGGGCTCGCCACTACGTCCTTTTGAACTTTTCATTGTATAGCGTCCCTCAGGCTCCATATCGTTATTTGATCGGATCGCATAATCGACAACCACCTTGTCATCAGACTGCCTCTTGCCAGATCTGCCGAATTGCAAAACCTTNTTTACCTTTTCAAAACTCCCTTCAAATAATCGACAGTATCCTAAGCTTTCTGCTCGTTAAAGGTGCAGTTCACGATAATTTGAGGTAGTTCAGATTGTGATGAATAATGGAAGACAAGATCCAAAATAGTGCGATCAAGGCAAAGAAACTGCGTGAATCGGTGATTCCAAAGTCAAAAAGGCTTTGAAAAATCGTTATAAAGGTGGCTGGAGGGTGAATAACTGACTACGGTAAGCAAAAATTTATTCACTCATAGGCATAGGTTAACAAAAACCCCGGTACGAGCCAAAATAACCCACCTTTCCGTCCTTTTGGTGTAGAAAATTAGATTAGGGATCGCAGCAGGAAAAAACGATAATACGAGAAAAAAACAGAAGCGAAACATCGCCTCATCCCTCGGCGATCAGCTTATTGTGTGAGGGTCCTTACGCGAATACTTGCAATCTGTATCGCCTTGACACTCTTCCGACGTGACATCTATCGAGGGGTGGGAAGGCCGTGCAAGCCGGGAGCGGGGCTCCCACTATGCCCCAACCGTCGAGATTTTGGGCGCGAGAGGGTCCTTCCTATTACCCTTAGGGGCCACCGGGTTTTTCGTGAACTGTGCTTTAAAGTATACATCCTTACATGGCTGTCTGGCATCGTGAAGTTTTCGTGAAAGGTTATGCTCGTCAAGTTTTCGTTGTTAACGAGGCGCAAAACGTATGGACCTGAATCAGTTCTACATGAACGACTACCTCTGCATAATTGTATTCGAGCAAGCTTAACTCACGACATCTCCTCTCGTTGTAGATGAGGAGCGATAATAATGAGAAATTGAGTTCACGAAGACCGGAATTCATTACGGTAATGCAACCCAGCACCAGCCGTAGTCTCTGAAATAAAATGTCTACATTTTCCGATGTGAACCCTGCGAAGGCGCACAAACTCGTAAAGCTGCGGCACCGTGGCGTCACCATGTGTGAGTGTTTTGTTCCTTCCGAGATTTTATGAAAGTGGCGTTTTATTTATTTTCTAAATTTTATTCCAGAAACCAACTGGGATTGATTGATTTTTCACATGAAGCTAGGCAATACTCTAGAAAAAAAACCTTAAACCTAAAAATATAAAAAAAACCCATGTGGACCCTATCGATACAGGACAGCTACATGACTAATCTTGAGCTTGTTCGCCGTGAGGTCGAGTTCCGACCACTCTAGATAAACCTGCATGCTACGAACAAGCCTTCCTTTTTCTCGATCTCACCGTGATTCCAGTTCCACGCAGGTCGAGAAAGGGTTAGGGGTACGGGTTGTAGCCACACACTCTTCCTGCCTACTAATTTCTAGTTCCCTATTAGCCTATAGTGTTCTCCTCGCAGGGTCTCTGTTTCTAGTTCTAGTGCAAGGATGACTACTAAAATTTTAGATCCATTACCACCATGGAATTGAATTCAAGCATCCTCAGAGGTGTTGTGGAGCGAAATAAAACCTTGGTAACTTCCCCGGCCACTGCTCAATTTTAGATAGATTACGGTCAGGTTGAGAAGAAAATTGGGCTGCCCATTGCACGTAAGCTCATTCTTCGGTGAGTGGTCGATCGCCACATCGACCAAGATCGAGTAGGCCATGTACATAGCACTTTTGTAACAATTGGATCCAGGAAGGTCTTCCGGTTTATATGGCAGCTGAGTATGGGCTTATTTGAGAATCGACTTCAGTTGGTTTTCGTCTTTCGGGCTTGGAAAGCAAGATGGTGAAAAGTCAGCTCATCAAAGTTTCGTGATCATTCTCGTGAAGGCTCAAGCCAATTTACTCGAAATCTCACGCTAGGATCGAGGAAAGCACGGACATGGTTCTTTCAGGATAACATCATCGTTTACAACATTTTCTTCCTGGGATCATCACAAATATGACTCTTGAAGTGTAAGGGAAGAACATTTTACCTCGAATTATTACTCGATAACACCTCCACCCAGGAAAGGGACGGCGCTACGAAATCTCCTTTTATTAGATGAAGACAGGATGAGAGGTTACACAAGTTCTTGGCGCTCCTGAAGCTGTAGGTAGCTCACATCCTACCATCATCACTCACATCATATAGAATAATGGTCTACTACAGCACTGATTGTACTTTAATGGGAAATAGAAATGGTCTTCACTCAAACAATGATGAACGAGGTAGTTCTAGTCCGTTTCTAACTATGAATTTTTCTCACTTAAAGGTTACAGTTCATCCCACACATTTGCAGGCAGCTGGCTGAAATTGAGGGGTGACCATCGCCACTCGTTAGGTCACACCTATCATTAGCTCAATCTATCAGGTTTCGAATCCTGCCTTGAACAGAATTCGCTCAGGTTACATTGATGAACTTTTATAACCTAGAGATGAAATCATTCTCTGAGATCCTCTTAACTTCATTTCTGGAGCACAGCATTCAATATACGGTAATTGCTTCGAGCGTGCTTATTTTGTAATTTCTTGAGGATATCATTAAGGAGGATTCATGTGTTGAGAAGTCAATGGTTGCATTTTTTTTCATTATATAGGAGGGATAAGCGATCACTTGAACCTGCTTCACTGCATTTACTCCGAGGCAGCACATCCAATTAGCCTTAATCGTGTCCACAGAAAGAGACCAGTGATAAAATGACCTCTTCATAAGAAAGTTAACAAGCGAAGGATCAATGGGTTCATAAATGAGCTGATCACATGCAAAGCTAGTTCGCCGACGATGAACTAGTCAATACTGTACAGTACCCAACAAGCTGAAAAGATCGGGATAGTTAATCAATCAATGGTCACAATCACCGGGATAATAGTTCTCGATACTTTGAGATGACCTTATTTTCTGCTACTATTGGTACTATAAGGGTTCTTGCTATAGAGAATGAACTGATTGCTACTCTACGGCTTGTGCCAAATTGTTTGAAATATTAGGTCGTGAAGAAAGTTCTTGCGGTTTTTGACGCCCAATTTTCAAATGCTCGCCGCGATGTTATTTGCTATTAGATTTCTTGCATGTTTTACACCATTCTGGAGCGCATTTCTTGCTCTATTCAAATGTATAATCGGTTTTGCCCTGGAGTGGTTCCTAGGGTTTTTTAGAAGGTCGAAATCAGCATGGACAAACGACAGATCCGCATGATTTTTCTTTTCCAATCCAAGTTGGGCAGGAGTGCGATGGAAACGGACCGGGATATCAACGATGACTTAGATCTAGGTACGATGAATCAACGCACAGCACAGTGGTGGTTTGAAAAATTTCGTACCGGTGATGAGAGCCTGGAAGATGATGAGCGCAGTGGGCGGCCATCGGCCGTTGGCAACGAACAATTCAGAGCGTTAGTGGAAGAGAATCCACGTACAACGCTGAAGGATATTGGCTCAAGATCGAGTGTTTCCAGCAGGTTGGCATCTACATGCAGGAGATCGGGAAGTT